GGCGCAGGCCGGGAAGGGGCGGGGTTTGATCCCTGAGGGCGGGGTTTGCGACCGAGCCCTGTGCGGTGCCGCCGGGCGTGACGTGGTGCGCACGCGCAGTGCGCGCGGCCGCGGCCAAGATGTCGGGCCCGGGGCTGGTGGCCGGCGATGTTGTGGTGGATGCGCTGCCCTACTTCGATCAGGGCTACGAGGCGCCGGGCGTGCGGGAGGCGGTGCGTGCGGGGCCGGGGCGGCGGCGGGGAGGGACCGGGGCGGCGGGCGGGCTGCCCGCCTGCCTGACGCTCCGTGTGCGTTAGGCCGCGGCGCTGGTGGAGGAGGAGACGCGGCGGTACCGGCCCACCAAGAACTACCTGAGCTACCTGCCCGCGCACGACTACAGCGCCTTCGAGGTGAGCTGAGGCGGCCTGGCAGCTCGCAGCGCCCGGCCCAGTGCCTCCCCGTACCCCGACCGGCCTCCCGCGCCCCATAGCCCGCTTGTCCCCATCCGTAACCTGGCTGGGACAGACCCTGCCTGTCCGCGGCCTTCCCCCGTACCCTCCTCGTGTGCCCACCGCCGGACTCCCCACCCCGCACCCCTCCTGTGTCTCTCCCCCTGCCCCGGCTGTCCCTCCCCCGTTACCCGTTTGTGTCCTGTCCCCGTCCTCCCCACCATACCCCGTTTGTGTGACCCCCCGGTCCCCGCCTGTCCCTCACCGCTGCCTTCCCCGCAGACCGAGATCATGCGGAACGAGTTCGAGCGCCTGGCGGCCCGGCAGCCCCTGGAGCTGCTCAGTATGAAGAGGTGAGTGGGGCCGGCAGGGCCGTGCCCGGTGCCCCGGGTGAGCTGTGTCCGGTGCCCCGGGTGAGCTGTGCCCGGTGCCCCGGGTGAGCCGTGCCCAGGGTGAGCTGTGCCCGGTGCCCCGGGTGAGCCGTGCCCGGTGCCCCGGGTGAGCCATGCCCCAGGTGAGCCGTGCCCTTTGCAGGTACGAGCTGCCAGCCCCCTCCTCCGGGCAGAAGAACGACATCACGGCGTGGCAGGAGTGTGTGAACAATTCCATGGCACAGCTGGAGCACCAGGCTGTGCGCATCGAGAACCTGGAGCTTATGTCCCAGCACGGCTGCAACGCCTGGAAGGTGTACAACGAGTAAGGCCTCAGCTGCTCTGCTGGACACCAAGTTCTGTGTTGAATTCCTGTCTGTTTATTGGGTGTAAATCCTGTGGGAATCTGTAGCCTGGAATAGATGAACCCATGTGAGAGAGCTGTGAGTGGAAGAGGAGTGATCTCAAAGCTGTCTCTGTGGCCAAGGAACAGCATGTGTTTTAATACATCCCAGTCTTGAATGTTGTGGGTTACTGTTGATGAGAGTGGGTGTTAATTAAGGCTGGTGATAGTCTGTGAAGGAATAGCTCAGTAGTGGAAATGAAGGTGAGTTACTACAGATCTTGGGCTTAGCCTGGAGCTGTAATAAAGCTGCTGCAAAAGCCAAGAAAAGGTTGTAGAGTATGGCTGCGGGAAGCACTGGGGCTATTTCAGGGAGTGTTAATGTCCACTTTTGAGAAGGGTTGGCTGAGCCTTAGATAAAAGAGTAGGCCAAAGGAATTCCAAACTGAGAGAAGGCAGAGGGTTCCTGAGCTCAGGAGAAGGGAAGCAGGTAAAGGATCTGCTGGCTGGGCCAAGGTGCTGCAGGGCCTTGTTGGATCCTTAATTTTGACAAGTTAAATGTCAGGTGAAATGGGGCTAGTTTACCATTTGTGTGTTTTTAATGCTTTGCTTGCATTCTATCATCAGGCACCTGGTTCATATGATAGAACAAGCCCAGAAAGAGCTTCAGAAATTGAGGTGGGTCTTCTTATTTATGTTTTTGTACTGAAATTGGAAGTGAACCTTTCTCTCCCCCCATGCTATACAGAGGAAGATGTATGCTGCTGCCATGGTCATAGGGAAAAAGACCCAGTAAAAACAATTAATAATTGAGAAATGTGACCCTGCCCTCCCCAGGCAGTTACATTCATCATGTCTGTTCTACTCAAAATTCTGTGTTTGGTTTGTTTGAACCTCTGCTCTGGATTTGTGGAATCCTCCCTGAAATGTAGCAATGCTTTCATTTCACTGCTGATAATTTAATGTGCAGTTGTCTCTGTAAGAACATCTTCCCTGATGTTTGGTTTGGCCTTTTATTTTTATTTATTTCAGGGTTCTCTGTGAGCCCTGTACTGAGATTTATCCATCTGGATGTTGTCATTACAGTCCTGGCTACACAAATGTTTTCTGGCAGTACATCTAGGAATTGAGAATATTTGGAAATTAGCAACAGGTGCTGCAGATGCCAATGAAATGAGGAAATACATCTTTTTCTTCCCAGGAAAAACATTCAAGACCTGAACTGGCAGAGGAAGAACATGCAGCTCACAGCTGGGGCTAAGCTGAGGGAGATGGAATCCACGTGAGTATTGACATTCCTCTGTTAACCCTTCCACAGTTTCTCCATTGCTTGAAATTCTTCTTCCACTTGAAATTCAGTGATCCTTTGGTGCTGCTGTAGGATACTGTTCCTTTGCAGGAGGTGTTTTAAAGTATTTGTAGTTTGATTCCATATTGTATTTGCTGAGGTTGAGTGAATCAACACGTGAGAAGAGGATATACTTATTAGCTGCTTCAAATTTCCTAAATTGTCTTAAACTCTTCTTTATCTCAATGTTGGCAGTTGGTGGATGAGTCTAGTCATTAAACTTCTTGTGTTTTCAGGTTTAACAGGGTTAAAAATTACTCATTGTCACTTTGGTTGTTCCAATGACCCTTGATGTCAACTAAGGATTATCAAGTGTTTAGAAAAATGCTGCTTAATTTGGTGTTTATGCTTGCTTTGGAGCAATGGTTGTCTTTGATTTTTAATCAGAGGACTGTAACATAACACCTAAAGGCTCTTTTTATTTCTTTTCCCTTCCAGGTGGGTCTCTCTTGTCAGTAAAAATTATGAGATTGAACGAACTATTGTGCAGCTGGAAAATGAAATTTCACAAATCAAGCAGCAGCATGGGGAAGCAAACAAGGAGAATATCCAGCAAGACTTTCAGTGAATTAATCCTGACTTGTCTTAGTGCTGCATGTGTTAAAAAGTACAAAGCAGACACTTTGGAGATGCCGTGTCTGTAAACACCTCTAGTTGCAGTTGTGTGAGGTGGTAAAAGGGTGTTTCCATCCTTTCTTTTCCTTGTTTTAAATTCTAGGAGGAGGTAGGGTGGACTCTATAAACATCCTGTTTAAATGTGTCACAGGCACCATTAAATGTACTGTGAATTGTTTTCACTTTTTATATATTTAAAGCAGGAGCTCACGTTGTTGTGTTTTCCCCTACGCCTTTAATAAATCCTGTTTTGTTATTTCTCTGGTTTCTGCTTTGTGTCCAAAGCCTGGCAGCTCTGGAGGAGATGGCTGGGTCAGGTGGGCCCTGAGAATCCCCTGCAGGGGAAGTGGGGGGAAACTGGAATTTTCCAGTTGACCTTCCAGGAAGGTCAAAATTAGCATTGAATCCACAATTTAAAGAAGGCTGATCAACCTCTTTATTATATTATGTCATTATTAAGAAACCCATTGCTTTTATAGACAGATAATATACAAATGTAATACACAAATGTTGTATATTTACGATACAGGTTGACCTAACTGGTCCTCCTGTCCAAACACCATCATGATTGGCTAATTAAGAAACCACCCTTTGGTAAACAAATCTCGCATGTTCACAATACCAGGTGCAGCAAGTGGAGATAAGAATTGTTTCTCATTCTTTTCTCTGATCTCACAGCCTTCCCCAGCAAGGCCTGGGGAAGTTGTGTGTTGCTCTCGGTGGCCAGAGAGCTGCTGCCACGTGCCACCCCCTGCCCTGTTCCTCATCCCGGGGCACAATTCCTGATCTTCCTGCTCCTGCTGCCCTGTCCCCTGTCCCCATGCTCTGACTCCCATCCCGATGCACTGCTCTGTGTCCCAGTGGCCTTTTCCCTGTGCTGGTGTGCCATTCCCCATCCTGCTGCTCTGTTCACATCCCAGTGCGATATTCCCAATCCAGGTCTGCTGTTTCCTGTCCTGGTGCCCTGTTCTCCATCCTGGTCCATTGTCCCACATCCCTGTGCCCTATACCCCTTCCCCATGGGTGTTTCCCCATCCCAGTGCTTTGTTCCCTATCCCAATGGGTTATTCCCTATCCCGGTGCCCCATTCCCCCAGCTCAGTGCATTATTCCCCATCCCGGTGGGTTATTCTCCTTCCCGGGGTGTTATTCCCCAGCCCAGTGGGTTATTTCCCATCCCAATGGGTATTCCCCATGCTGATGGATATTCCCGGTCCGGGTGGGTTAATCCCCAGCCCAACGGGTATTCCCCCTCTTCACGCGTTATTCCCCGTCCCGGTGGGTTATTCCCCTCCCCCGTGGGTTATTTCCCAGCCTGCGTTTGTCATTTCCCGTCCGGAACGGTTACACCCCACCCCGGTGTGGTATTCCCCCTCCCGGTGCGGTATTCCCCAGCCCAGTGCGCTGTTCCCGGTGCGTTATTCCCCCTCCCGGTGCGGTATTCCCCAGCCCAGTGCGCTGTTCCCGGTGCGTTATTCCCCCTCCCGGTGCGGTATTCCCCCTCATGAGGAGGTATTCCCCAGCCCAGTGCGTTATTCCCAGCCCGGTGTGCTATTCCCGATGCCCTGTTCCCGGTGCGTTATTCCCCAGCCCGGTGTGCTGTTGCCGGTGCGTCATTCCCTATTCCCGGTGCCCCCTTCCCTATTCCCGGTGTCCCGTTCCCCATACCCGTGCCCGGGGGCGTTCCCGAGGGGGCATGGCCACGCCCCTGCCGCCACCACCGCCCAATAGGCTCTCATCCCTGGACCCAAAGCCCCGCCTCCCCTGACGTCACGATCCGCCCTCCCGGCCGCGCCGTTGCCGCGGGAGCGCGCGCGCGTGCGCGGCGCCGGTCCCGCCCGGTGACGCGGTGACGCGGAGCGTGCGCGGAGCGGGGTCGGGTTCAAAGGAGGAAACATGGCGGAAAACAAAGGAGGCGGCGGCGGCGGGGACGCGGCTGCCGAGGCCGCGCCGGGCGGCGGCGGCGCTCTGGAGCCTCCCGCCGGCTCGNGGTGCGGCGGCGGGGCCCGGCCCCAGCCCGGTGCCGCCGCTGACGCCCGCGGCGCCGGGGCCGTTCTCGCTGCTGGACACGTGCGCGGTGTGCGCGCAGAGCCTGCAGAGCCGGCGAGAGGCCGAGCCCAAGCTGCTGCCCTGCCTGCACTCCTTCTGCCGCCGCTGCCTGCCCGAGCCCGAGCGCCAGCTCACCGTGCCAGTGCCCGGCGGCGCCAACGGCGACGTGCAGCAAGGTGAGCGCGGGGCTGCTCCGGGACATCCCGCCGCCAGCCGCCCGCCCGCCCGCAGCGCGGGGCTGCCCCGGCCGGCCCGGGCCCGTCCGGGAGCGCGGGCAGCGATCGGCGGCGTGCGGGAGGGCAGGGGCGGCGGGGCTCGGCAGCTGCGGGGATCCGGAGCGCCGATCGCGGCCGGGGATTCCCGGGAAGGAGGGACACGGACCTGTTGGAGCGGGCAGAGTTGGTGGGAGGGGTGGAGCGGCTCTGCTCTGAGGGAAGGCTGCGGGGATTGGGGTCCATCAGCCTGGAGAAGAGACCAGGGGACCCTAAAGCCCCTCCCGGTGCCTAAAGGGAGTCTGCAGTAAAAATAAGGACAGAGTTTTTAGCGGCACCTGTTGCGCTAGGACTGGGAATAATGGTTTTAAACTGGAGCAGGATCGCTTTAGATTAAGTGTAAGAAAGAAATGTTTACCATGAGGGTGTTAAAACATCGGAACAAATTGCTCAGGGAGGTGGTGGAAACTCAGTGACAGGCTGGACCAGGCTCCGAGCAACCTGCTCGAACCTAAGATGTCCCTGCTCGTGACAGGGGGGGTTGGACTAATGACCTTTAAAGGCTCTTTCCGACCCCAAATACTCTGTCATTCTCACCTCCTGGCTGTTTTGTGTTGGCTCTCAGCGGTGTCACAGCGGGGGTGGGCAGCTGCGGGGTTCTGTAGTGCTGGGTAAAACGTGTCTGGTTAAATTGAGATTCACTCTCGTTGCAGTGTTCCCTGCCCAGGTGGGAACGCTGCGTGCGCTGTCCCTGCTTTGCTGTGCACTGAGATAAAACCTTGCAGTGCTGTTTGTCAGCTCTGCCTCTACAGAACTTGTACCAGGGAACGGGAGTGCGCTGCTCCTTCCACCTGTTCTTAGCAGAGCCACAGCTTGGGTTTGAGTTTTCTTTTCTAATGTACGTTCAGGGATGGAATTGAAAAGGTTCGGGAGCTTTAGGTGGGGTGACTCACGGGCTGTGGTGTACAGAGCAAAGTAGGGCCCTGGGAAGTGGTTTTGCAGGTCCTAAATGGGCTCTATGGTCAGGGAGACCTTGTTTGGTGACATCTTTGCACTCAGGCCCTTCCTGTGTTCCCCAGTGAAGGAATTAATCTGGAATGGTAGGGGTTTTTTCATCCAGATTGTTCAGAAGTCCATCTAGGATGTGATCCTAGGAAGTTCATTGGTGTTAAAAAGATGATGTATTAAAATATAGTTTGCCAATACATCAGTAAAGCACTCAGATGGTTTTGTGATCCGTGTTTTTAAATTCCAGATTCTACATTTTGGGTTATATCATAGAGTGACAGAGTGATTTGGTTTGGAGGGGACTTCAAAGCCCATCCAGTCCCAGCTCTGCCCTGGACAGGGACACCTTCCACTATCCCAGGTTGCTCCAAACCCCATCCAACCTGGCCTTGGACACTGCCAGGGATCCAGGGCAGCCACAACTGCTCTGGGCATCCTGTGCCAGGGCCTGCCCACCCTCCCAGGGCAGTGATATGCCAGTGACATCCACAGAACTTGAGAAGCAGGGTTTCTTTTATTAGCAATTAGCAGGATTATCTGAGTCCTGCTGTGTGTGTGGGAGCTGTCTTCCCCACAGGTGTGGGAACCACTGTGTACAAACTGGAATATCACTTCTTGTTGTACACATTTTAAGAATGCTTGTTGGTGTGCTTTGTTGTAGAAAGAGTTTGCGTTTGGACTGTTGCAATCAAAAGTTTTAGGTGATGTGAGCAAGGTGCAGGAGCATCTTTCATGTGAGGACAGACCACAGGGCTGAGCCTGGTTGGTCTGGAGAAGGGGAGACTCAGAGGGGATCCCATCAATCCATGGGAATATTTCCAGGCTGGGTCAGAGGATGGTGTCAGGCTCTTTCCAGTGGTGCCCAGGGCAGGCCAAGGAGCCGTGGCCATAAATTACAACACAAGGAGTTCCACCTGAATGAGAAAGAAATTCTTTCCGTGAAGGGTGGCAGAGCCCTGGAGCAGCTGCCCAGGGATGGGGTGGAGTCTCCTTCTCTGGACACATTCCAAACCCACCTGGACACATTCCTGTGTCACCTGCTCCAGGTGACTGGGTGATCTGCAGAGGTGCCTTCCAACAGAGCTGCTGTTGTGGGATTGTGGGAGTGTCCTGTAGGGCTGTGGATCCAGCTGTGGATCCAGCTGTGGTGCCACCTCAGCCTGCACAAGCACAGGAACTGGCAGCTATATCCTGATGTCTCTTTTTGTTCCCTGGGTATTTAGGTTTAATCTCTTGTTTCCTTAGGAAAGTAGGAAATGCTCTCTTGAGCCAAAATTTGGCTGGAGTCAAATATTTCCAATTTCTAGAGGGAATATCCTCAAGGACTTATAAGGAGAAATTTGTTTCTTTTATATTTGGTACTTTTCCAGTTGGGATTAAAAGTACACCCTGCATTATGGTAGGATTGGCTCATCCTCAGCTGAGGATGGGCCATGGACCAGCAGAGGCATTTTTGTGGGCAGCTCTCTGCACCTTGAGGGTGGAATCATTTGAGTGGCACAGGAGATGGTTACCAGTAAATCAGATAGAAAATGGACATTCTGAGCCTCCTGAGAGGCACCACAGTGCTTAGTCACACAGGTTCCTTCCCTGTTCTGGTAGTCACAAAGTGTGAAGTGTTACTTCCACTTCTGCTGATTCTCAAGTCTCCTTCATGACGAGCAGGTGCTTTTTCATGCAGGAAGAATTACAGAGAAGTGGCACCTGTAGCTGTACCTGAGGCAGGTTGCACTTTGCTGCAGGCTCTCACTGCTGGATTGTGTCCCTGCTATCTTTCAGCATCTCTTCACATAAACCAGAAAAGTACCAGTGATATTTTCCTGGTTGCTTTATTAATTAGAGAGTTTGCTCAGTGAGAGCTATCAGGACTTAAACCAGTAGATATGTGTATTTATTGGGTAAAAACCGTGGAAATGGAGTGTGAGGTTGGTGCCCCAGAGCAGTTCTCTGACAGCACCTCCTCTGCCCTCCTGGAGAGAGTGGTGTTGGCTCTGGATCAGCATCTCTGCTCCTGCCAGGCTTCCACTCCCTTCAGAGCCACTGCTAAAGAAGGCAGAAGAATCATCTCAATTCCTAAAACTTAAAGAATCCATGGCTAAAGCTTAAAAGAATTATCTGAAATTGTGGTTTGCTGTATTAAAACCAAGTTGTTGGTGGGTCATACCTGTTTTGCTGGTGAAAAAGATTTATTTTGCTGTTGATTATGTTTATGTAGGGAAAAAAATAGAAGATTCTTGTTTAATATATTTAAAATATATGCATTTGTTTAACATGAAAAGTAGCATCTCATATTCAGTTTAATTTCTTAATTGGTTATGGGAATGTGCATTTTATTTGGTGGGTAGATGATTTTGTAGTGATGTTTCAGCTGTCCAGCTGGACTCCTCCTTTCAGGTTGAATAGGTTACAAGGAAATGCCTGCATTTGTATCTCAGTATTCTGAAAAAAAACCCTGATTTCTAAGTTAGAGATTTCAAACTGTAACAGATACCGTAAAACAACTTTTCCTGCACCCTCTGCTGCTCCTGCTCCTGGAGGTGAGGTTGTTTTGTGGTTTCACTGCCTGGGTGAGATATTTACAATCTCTCTAAAGAAGATTATCTCAGTAGAGAGAGCGTGGGGCTCTCCCAGCTCCTTGGGAATGTCACAATTACAATTAGGCTGAAAAACCAAATGAGCTGAAAAACCTCCGCAGCTGGTTGTGTGTGTAAACTGAGGAACAACACTTTACCACCTGGATGTGTGGTACCAGAAATTGGTTTGATATGCTGAATTCAGCTCCTGTATACAGTGTTGCTGTGTTATGTTAATCACACATGAAGTTTTTTGCTTTTTTAATTTGCTGTGAAAGGAGGACATAAAAGTCTGATGTGTGTGGGGATGTGACATGTCCCTTACACTGAGTTTGGTGGTAGTTACTGTATTTTCAGTCTAAAAGAATGAAAATTCCTACATCAAATAAGACTGTATAAGCTGTGTAAATGCAGCATCTTAAGTTTTATTAAACTGGATGTGAGTAGACATCACCTGAGCTCTTTTGATTCTTTACTTTTCTCCTGTGTTCATAAGTGAGGCTCATGAATATATGCTGGAGCCCAGCATGAGTCCTGGAAAATGTTCAGTTCATATTTTGGACTTACTAAAAATCTTGCTGTGAAACTTAAATTTCAGTGTAAATTAATAGTGTATTGTAAAGTATTTCCATCAGACAACATTTAAGGCATGTGTTATTTTTATAAGAATTAATATCTGTGGCAGCTGTAATTTTTTTTCTTATTAAATATATTGTCAGTTCAGTGCATGATAATTGCCATATAGTCAAGGATTGTTTGAAAAACAAAAAACTGAGTTAGGAGTGGACCTTGAAAGCAGGTAATTTTTTAAAATGTATTTTTATTCTGACAGATTTCAATCTGATTGTATCACTCCCTTGACCTGTGAGGTTTTGTTTCAAGGTCTAATCACTGAAATTAGAGCAGGGTTTTGATGTATGGCTGTGCAGAAACATGCTTGGACCCTTGCAGTGCTAAGAGAAATAAATATTAAGCACATGGAGTGACTACTATTGGAGTTGTCACCCAGTCAATGGGACCTGGCAGAGATTCATTCCAGAGAGGGAATTCCTGATTCCCTGCCAAGCTCGAGCCCAGAACGGAAGCTGGAGTTACTGGATTGCACAAGTGCTGGCAAATATTTCCTGAACTGGGAAATTTCCTCGTCATTTGATGCCTCGAGAAGGCTGAGCTAGAACAGAGGCTGGATGGAGTTAAAGAATGAAATAGGGATTTATTAAAAGGCCTCAGTGGATCCACCTTGGGGAGTGCAAGAGCCCAGCCAGGGCTAAACCCAAGATGAACCAAAATTGTCACAAAATGCACGAGCGCTCATGGGGTCTCTCACTTTTATCAGTTCTGCTCCATTTGCATATTGGAGTTAATTGTCCAGTTACAGCTTTA